GGGGATAAACTATAGCATACAGACATACATACATAAACTTTGCAAAGAGCACACAGATGTAAACAGGTACAGAGATATTCTTTTAGATAAATAGTTAAATTGGATGGATTGATGGATAGATAGATAGAAAGACAGATAGATTAGATAGATAGATATATTGACAGATTTGATAGATAGATAAGTAGGTAGATAAATAGGTAACTGCGCTCTGACAAAAAGGTTGATGCGAAAGATAAGCAGTCAGACAGATAAGTAGATAATAATTTAACGTGTAGTACACACCAGCGCTGCCATGCTATGACCACTACCAGCCACGCGGACAGCGTGAGGCTGAGGTGGTTCAGGAAGAGGCCCAGTTTGCAGGACCAGGTTCCCAGGTGCAGGAGTTCGAGCCCCCAGAGCACCCTGAGCCAGGTTTGCAGGGCGCTGGTGTAGAGGAACACGGTGTCCACCACGGCCAGTGCGGAGAGGAAGAAGTTGAGGTTGTCGGTGCTGATGGCGCCCCGCCGGAGCACTAGGATGACCAGAGTGTTGCCCACCGTGCCGGACAGCACCAGGATCGGGAAGGCCACCTGGAAGAGGAATTGGAATACGGGCTGCCCCTTACGGTTGGGATCGGAGGGTCGAGCCGATCGTCCGACTAGGTCGCCATGAAAACACACGCGTTTGTTTTTGAGGCGAGGAGTCGGGCGACAAACGTATTTGTTTTCAGACGACCGAGTCTGGCGTAATGGGCACCCCGTGTAATACTCACTGCCTATTTGCACGATCGGTTTGGTTTGCTTGTCAGATTGGGGGCGCAAAGTGGCTATGGTTGCACAAACCGATCACCCGACTCGTCACGTAAAAAACAAACACATTTGTTTTCAGGCGAAGAGTCGGGCAATCGGTTTGTATGGAGAACCGATCCCTCAAAGGACACCCCTTAGGATGCTTTATGTCCCTGTCGGCACAATGTAGGTCATTAACCCTTTTCTGTTTTGAGGTGTTTCCATATATATGTTTGTACTGAGAGAATAAAATGTTCACATAAGTGAGATTTAAACAAAGATTTAATACTTCCCGCCCCCATATGAATATTATGCAAGTTCACAAACTGGTATTAGAACATCTCCTTTACACTTTTCTTAACATCAGTTGAAAAAATAACAGTGGTGAGGATAAAAAAAACCGTGACATCCCCTCCTTCACCCTGGACGGAGGTCTTGAAAACGAGAGAGAGAGAGAGGGAGAGAGAGACCCCCCCCCCCCCCCTCCCGCCTTATTTTTCTATACCACTCTTTATGACTGTTAAAGGCATTTCGTTTTACTTCTCCTATTGAATTCGAAACTAGACACTTGTTTGCACCACAAAAATGGTGTGTCCCTTTGTAATAGTGGTCAAAGAGCTCTCCTATTGTAGGAGTCGAAGAAAAGAGTATTGAACTATAGCGTGAGGGCACAGTCGTTTGGCTCGCTTTTTCGAAGGCACTTACTTCAAAAAATGCCTCTACACTTTAACACCAAGCAGCTTATCTTCTAACAAACACACTGATCCCATTGATACAATATCTGAATGCACCGGATCAGACCTGCCAATCGGGTTTAATGCACTGATGTCTCATGGATTTTTTTTTCGTTCGTTTTTTCTGGCTGTGGTAACAAAGTTCGTGTGTGGGAAATCGATTCGAGATTAGTTTATTTGATATGGGGGTGGCAGGGACGGAGAGAGAGAGAGATGACGTGTGTGTGTGTGTGTGTGTGTGTGTGTATGTGTGTGTGTGTGTGGTTACAAATGCGTTTGCATGTGCATGTGTGTTTTTGTGTGTCGCCAGCTTTCTTCCACTTTCAAGATTTTCCGAGCGCCCTCTTTCTGTCTCACCTTATCTGTCGATCTTTTTCGTGCAGTCGTCACTCACGCACACTTTGCTGTGTTCTAAATGAACAGATTGTTCTAATCATTTACTGTTCCCTTTTTAAAATTTAGGATTTTGTTTTTATGGTGATTGACTTGTTAGTCATTGCTGACGGCTGAGAGACAGTGTGCTTTGGAATAGCCAGACTCACTATGAGGAGATCTGTAATGTACGTCTCACGTTCTCCCATTTTTCTCTGGCGGATATAACCTCTCAACGTCTCCTGAGACCAGCCGTTCTTTTACACATAGTGTTCGCGCTAATGGCGTCCCGTGATCCTGGATAATATTACCGAAGCTTTTCGACATTTTTTATGTTCAAATGTGTCGATTTTCCGTTATTTTGTGTTAAATGCTGAGCGCCTACTTTCTAGAAGGGATGTGCGCTATAAAAATGCAAAGTATTTTTAATATATTACTGTTCTGTTAGTAAGGAGAAAAAATATGATTCAGAAATAAAAAGCAGATGAGATGTATTCAAAACGTTTCTTTTTATGTGTATGAGTTTGTGATGGGGATTAAGGCACTGAAAAGTAATGGGAGCGCAGTATATCAATAGACCTGAGGCCGGAGTTTCAAAGTGATGCGAGCAACCTGTCTCTTGAAGGGTCATATTTTCTGCTGATAATGATGTTCCTGGCTTTTGCTCGTTGAAATAGACGTACTATTCTTTGAATGACTTTGCGAATTACACGCAGAAGCTACACGCAGAAACTACACGCAGAAGCTACACGCAGAAACTACACCGGCCGTATTTTAAAGTATGATGTTATCTAAAATCCACCCTCAGTCTGCAAGAAGTTAATGAGGTCTGTCAAGTGACTTTGATGAAGAAGATTAAGGACTTTTCGGCTTTTATTTTATTAGAATCTGAAGAAACATTGATTCAAGCTGTGTAGAATATTTGAATTGAAAAATCAAGATTCATGAAGTCTCTAACAGAAGTCAAGTTTGACTTACCTTGATCATCATCACGGCCGCTCTGTACATCTGATACTGGTTCAGGTCGCCGAAGTCGTAAGTGTAATTATAGTTCTGTGTGGTCAGTGGTGTGTGTGTCCACTCACCAGAATCTCCGCCCACGGTGACGTTGTATCCGAACCCGGTACCTTCCATGTCTGGGGGAAATGGCTAAATACCTGTCGTCTGTGGCCGTGCAGCGTCCTGGGGGGTGGGGGTGTGGGGCTACCTGTACAAGACAGGAGGATAGAGGTTCAGATGGTTGTAACAGAAGGATTCAGTTGAACAAATAAAGATGTCGTATGATATTCAATATGTCAGGGAAGGAGCACCCATCGAACTCGGTTCACGTAGTGCAAACTTCAGATTATCCTACGCCTTACGGAAAAATGTATCAGAAAGGACATACTCGATATTATGCTTATGCTAGGTTTCTCAGTGTTCACTATATACCAACCAATGCCTATCTTTTTGGTAACCCCTTTCTGTCATTCACCTATTTTGCACGTCCCTACACCGTCGTCGATTGTTTTATTGGGGGGGTTTTCACAGCGCTGCACTGCTGTACCACCGAATTTGAGTCAACTCGTGGACAAGCATATATTTCTTAAAAGTTTCACCGCCGCGTGAAATATGAACGAAAGTGTCTGGTATGCGCCAGATGTCCCATTTTATGCACCGATAATAAATGAGAGTCGGTCGGATCCATCCTTTCCGCAGTTTATGTGGTTTTGTCTGCAATCCGACAAGAGAACACAGACACAACCCTCAACAATATCAGTGGCAAGTAGCGAGATATCCGTGGAATGAGAAGGCCCGAAAGAGCTCCCTCGTTGAGCAGACGAGTGGCCCTGAGCTCCGGAAAGCACCCCACTCAACCTTTCGTCGCAGCAGACGGCAAGTCGTGTCGTCGATCTCCAGTGTTTGACACTGACGCGTCTGCGCTTTCTAAATTCTGCTCAGGTATATATGCGCGAGAGAGTGTCCTTACATTTTACTCTTTCGCAGACCACAAGTGCGTTTGTTTGCCCTCGGATATGCTGCCACTACACTTGCCCTCACTTTTTTGCTTCCATTACCTCACTATGTCGCCCCCTTTTTTCCTCTTTTTTCTCGACCAAACTGTTGTGCCTCTTCGTAAAAAGGGCTGTGTGACAGTGTAATCAGTTAATCTTATACTTTATCTTCGGTTTTTGTCTTAACTAGTAGTCTCCCCGCTCCGCCTCTCTCTCTCTCTCTCTCTCTCTCTCTCTCTCTCTCTCTCTCTCTCTCTCTCTCTCTCTCTCTCTCTCTCT